TCCATGGCAGTCTCTGGATCTTGGCCGACTGGACCGTGAGTGCCCCCATTGCGGTGCCCTGTACTGGCGTGCTGAGCTCTATCCATCGCCGACGACCACCGCTCCATCCTGGGAGAGGTGTTGCCGCACGGGATGCTTGCCCGCTCATCCCATGCCTGAGCCCCCCCGTATTATACGCCATTGGTTGAGCACAAATACCCCTCAGTCTAGGCTCTTTCGGAAATGGATCCGTATCTTGAACTCCGCCGTTTCCTATACCTCTGTAGGCTACCGCCATGATCCCCGCTTAGAGCCCCGCGAGGCTTTATATATCTTTCAGCTACAGGGTGCGATTTACCATCTACAGGGGCCCCTGCAGGGCTCTGTCCCGTCTCACGCTCAGCTCTATTTTATGGATATGGAGTCTGCCAACGCCTTGCGGTTAGAACGCTATCCGCTTCTCAAGTATTGTCCAGTGGTTCTAGAGAAGCTTGATCAGGTACTTCGCCGGCATAATCCTTTTTATAGGATCTTCTTTCGAGCGTATGAGATACTTAACCAGTTTCCTGATGAATCCTTTCTTCGATTGTCACCTCAAGTATGTCTATATATCAACACATTTATATATAGTAGTTCCTGACTTGCATAGCTTCGTTTGATCCCTAATCATACTGCGGGCCGCCAGTATGACCTTCCCTCTATCTCCTCTGAGTTAGGTGCCTTTATCCCTGATATTGCCAATGAGTATCATGCTGGTGGCTATCGTGATATCCAGCTTTACCTAAGGGAGGCCCCAGTTCGTCAAGCCCAGGGTCGTTCTGCTCTACTTTCCGATCTCCAGGCTACTGCTGTAATTGACGCGGATGAGACCCTTGCCCATTTAGAGGACGGCCCTGTGCCTAATATTGATCCTGAGGATCCCGAGACTCCTCCTGCTATTATTGACAACAGTACTTCTCCACGTCCCCGGTATCTGTCCTTTATCCACCCCGAGCACGCCCTCTATGGCCCCCTAGCCTACCCTATTTTCTATTCTACCGGTGGCCGCAGCTACCATCGCTATATTAAGCTATCTGGGTTAACAAAATCCGGATATGCCCGCAAGAACACTAATGTTACCCCTATAATGTTCTACCGTTGGCTCCTCTACACTCGCAGGCGGGACTTCAATATCTTGCACCGCGGTGGCATGCTATTCCAGCAGTGGTTGGTAGATGCCTTTCTGACTGATGACCTTAAGAATATGGAGTTCTACCGGTTTAATCAGGGCCAGTTGCGGGCTGAGAAATACTCAACTGCGATAAAGGCATTCTCTGAGTATACCAAGCCTGATCAGATCGGTCGTCGGTATATCCTGCCCTCAACTGTTAAAGGTAGTATTCGATTTATGCAACAGCGCTACCAGGATTCAATGGCTATTGTACGACACTTTGGCAATCCCTCCTTTTTTGTGACATTTACATGTAATCCTTACTGGCCAGAGATCTTGGCTGAGCAATTTGTTGATTCTTTTGGTGCACCGATTCAGACTTGGCGTGAGCGTCCTGACTTAGTCTGTCGAGTCTTTCAGCTAAAGTTAAAGGCTTTACTGCAGGATCTTACTGGCAAGGATGGTGTTCTCGGTCCGTATCTAGCGCATGTCTGGGTTATAGAATACCAGAAGCGAGGGATGCCTCATGCGCATATTCTTCTATGGCTGGAAGCTGGCTGGAGATATGATCGGCCAGAGTTAGTGGATGAGGTGGTGTCTGCTGAGCTTCCTGATCCAAGTACACCACAAGGCCGTCTCTTATATGGTGTTGTCACGAAGCATTTAATACATGGCCCTTGCGGCGAGTATAATCCCAATGCTCCCTGTATGGACTGGCGAGACGGCAAGCGGTATTGTACTAAAGGATTTCCCCGGGCTTTCTCTACAGAAACTGTTATCTCTGAGGATGCTTATCCAGTCTACTGCCGCCGCGATAACTCGCCATTTGCCTTTCTGATACCACACCCTACGCGCTCAGGCGAGACAATAGTGGTTGGCAATGAGTGGGTGGTGCCGTATAACCCTTATCTTGCTGCAAAATATATGGCCCATATCAATGTGGAGGTATGCAGCAGTATCAAGGCTATTAAGTATATCCACAAGTATATCTATAAGGGCCCTGACCGTGGTACTGCTGAATTTGAGATCGACGAGATCCGAGAGTACCTTAATGGTCGCTATGTGGGCTCCTCTGAGGCAGTTTGGCGCCTGTTTGAGTTCCCTGTCAATGGTATGACTCCATCGGTACAAAGCTTAGTTGTCCACTGTGAAGATGAGCACACAGTTGCTTATGATCCTAGCACTACCGCGGAGGATGCTGCTGTTGAGATCAATAAGCAGACTTCCCCCTTGGTGGAGTTCTTTCGGTACTGCCACGATAATCCCGGTGTTGACTTTACCTATCAGGATGCTCCCTTATACCTTACATGGAATAAAAAGCGCTGGAAAAAGCGCGTGCAACAGGGCATTTTGCAGATTGGTCGTATCCATTTGGTGAATCCCCTACAGGGTGAAGTTTATTATCTCCGTCGTCTCCTTACCAAGGTTAAAGGCCCTAAGAGTTATGAGGATCTGTGTACTGTACCTCTTGCTCCGGGTGAGGTGCCGATTGGGGAGTGTGAAATTCATCAACTGGCTACTGAAAGTGACCCTCTTCGGGTTGCTATTTATCGTACCTTTCGGGACGCGTGCTATGCTCGAAATATTATTCCCCGGGATAATGAATGGTCAGTATGTTTCAGTGAGGCAATTACACTCCGTACTGGCTGGGAGCTGCGCCGGATGTTCGTATCTGCGATGCTGCATGGTGATCTTGACGACGCCCGGCCTATTTGGAATGAGTTTCGGGAGTATTTCTGTGAACGTCTTATAGAAGAAATTAAGCGATTTAACTTGGTCTATGATCCCAACGTCATTCCTGCACCTCACCTGGACTATGGTCTTTTTCTTATTGCTGGCCATCTGCATACTGAGGATAAGACCCTTTCTAACTTTGGTTTACCTCCTTATATCAATAACTGGGGCGAACTTCTTGCTAATCCTCTCCTGCGTCAGGAACTGGATTATAACCTGGAGGAACAAGCTCACCTTGCTCAGAACTATGAGGCCTCTCTGAACAAAGACCAGCACGCTGCCTATACACGTATTCTATCTAAGATAGAATCAGATCCCTATAATGCTCATTTCTTTCTTCATGGCCCTGGGGGCACTGGGAAGACCTTTCTATACCGCACGCTCTGCGCTAGGCTGCGCGCCCAAGGAAAGGTGGTGCTATGTGTTGCTTCCACTGGAATTGCTTCTCTTCTATTGCCCGGTGGTCGTACCGCCCATAAGCGTTTTAATCTTCCATTAGATCCTGTACCGGGTGCCCAGGGCTTTATTAGCCGTGGTACACACATAGGCCGACTTATGCAGCATGTGTCCTTGATTATTTGGGATGAGACACCTATGATGCATAAGGAGCACTTTGATATTGTTGACCGCAATCTCCGTGATCTAAGGGAGGATCTACCTGGCGGCGGCCATCCCTTTGGTGGTGTGCCAGTGGTTCTTGGTGGTGATTTCCAACAGATCCTGCCTGTTATCCAACGGGGTACACGTTCTGAGACTGTGCACGCATGCCTGCAGCACGCTTTAATCTGGCCGAAGTTAGAGCAGTTGCAGTTGCGCCAAAATATGCGATTAGATTCAGAATCCAGCCCGGAGAACCTCCGCTTAGGGACCTGGCTGCAGGAGATGTCGCATGATCCCCAATACTACGGTCTGACAACTTTTCCTGACGGACTCTATACAACAATGTCCCTTCCCACTTTTGTAGAGCGGATATATCCCTCGGCTGACATGATTACTGCGCCTTCGAATCCAGACTTCTTTACCGGTCGTGCGATCCTTTCAGTTCACAATGAGAGCGTCCATGAGCTCAATGATATGCTTCTGGATAGGATGCCCGGGACCACGACAATTTTACATTCCTTTGACAGCTGTGTTATGGATGATGATGATTGGGCACATCCCGATGAGATACCACCAGAGTTCCTTAATAGTCTTAGGGATAGTGGTTTACCGCTAGCAAATCTACGCCTAAAGATTGGCGCCCCGATTATTATCCTGCGGAATATTGACCCTCTCAATGGTCTCTGCAATGGTACCCGTTGTACAGTGAGCCGTTTTACGTCACACTGTCTGGAGGTCCGCCTTGATACTCTTGGGCTCAGCAATCCTTACCGCCTTATCTATCGCTGCAAGCTTACCGCAGATCGGAACGGGCTTCCCTTTACTCTTATTCGGCGTCAATTTCCTGTTAGGCTGGCGTATGCCATGACTATCAACAAAGCCCAGGGTCAATCATTATCCCATGTAGGCGTTGATCTCCGTGTTCAGCCTTTTAGTCATGGTCAGCTGTATGTGGCTCTGTCACGGACAACCAATGCTAAGAATGTCTCTATTTTGGTGTCCCCGGATAATCCTAATAAGCAGGTAGATAATATTGTCTATCCTGAGGTGCTGAAGGATTTCTCCCCCGGTAGTCCTTCCTAAGGTGTTGAGGGACCCCCTGGAATCAGTCTCTGACTGACTCTTCGCCTGACTTGCCTGACTTGCCTGACTTGCCTCCATGTCTCGGCCGCTGTGGGCCTTATAGTGTACTATTTCTTTGATTGCACCATTTGCGGGATTTACAGGATTTGCAGACTTTGCAGGATTTGCTATATTCGCTTCCGTTATTGTGCTCTATTACCCTCACCGCCATTTTTATAGCTATCTGATAGGGTCTGGTGGGTCCCTTTCAGCTCGGTATCTACCCTTTTAGGAAGATATCTGTGCCGTGTCGGGCTTTGCATTGTTGACTCCACCGCGTTTCTAGCAATCCCGCGTCTCTTGCATGGTCCGCATGTCTCGCTTTCTTAGCCTAGAATCTCCCACTTAAATAGCCCTTAACTCGCGACTTATTCCTCTAACAGACTATATTTCTCCTTCTGTTCTTTAAGTCATTATGTCAGATACCAATGCTACCCACTGCGACTTTGCCGCGATTATGTCTATTGACAAGGCCCCGGCTGTGACACAGGCTGTTTCTCTTTTACAATTTACTATGTTCTCTGATGGCCCGGAGTATACATTCCTCGGGGACTTGGTGATCCCGGAGGAGATGTCATACACGGTGACCTACTATAATGAGTTCGGGTTACCCTATGTCCCCCAGCAAGTGGTTATAGTCGACGGCCAACTTAGCGCTCAAGAAAATGCTGCTGGGTTTCCTACCTTGCAAGTCCGTGCTGATATAATGGCACCGTAAGTGTTATATCTACAACTTAGAGCTACTTACTGATCATTATTAGATTCCCGGGAAGCGTTGAGTCAGATACATACCTAGATACTCTGCCTCCTGCCTACAATCCGCGCCTGTCAGTAGTGGGTATGGTAGTGGGCCATCACACTGACTCTGCTGGCCAGCGTATGTTTATTCTGAAGGTAATGTCCTATGCGGGCCGTGAAAATGGGACATCAATCTATAATACCTTCCATATTGCCTGTGCTATTCCCGGAACTCCGCGCTGGGCTCGCACTCGCCTTCCTACTGTTGGGCGCTTTATCCAGGTATCGTGTCGTTTTATAGGCTTTTATCCCTGGGAGGATCGCCATATTATCTGTGGAAGTCTTCTAAATATTTCATATCTTCCGTCATCCCGGGATACTGCCCCAGCTGCTACTGCCCCATCTACCCCAAACGGCCGTCGACGTCTCCGTGTGATGGGGGGAAGTGGTTTACAGAACTCCCCTTCCCGGCGCGTCCAGCTTAATCTTTCTACCCCTGTATCTTCTCAAGCAAGTGATTCAGCGGATATTCCTATTATAGGTATGGTATTTAAGGCTATACTATAACTCTATGCTAATATTGACTTAGACACTTTGGCACCATCTTCAGCTCCCACAAGCTCAGGAACTGCAGCTTCCACATCCATATCCTCCACCCCTGTATCATCTACAGGTCCATCTTCTATCGCGATAGGCAAGCGACCTGCTGAAAATCCCCTATCTGATGGTAAGCATAAGAGGAAGAAGAACAAGAAGAATACCAATGTCTTTACTCCTAAGAGTGACCGTGCATCCTCGCCTGACTGGCCTTCTCAACTCCAAGACAACGATGATCTCTGATTCCTGACTGCAGCGCGGCCAGTACGTCGTTCAAGGACCTCCAACACTAAGGTCTACGGCCAGGAGGAAATTGTTTAAGGTACTGTATAGCATATTGTTGGTTTTACGTTCTATGGTAACGCCTAGAAGGCTTCTTTAAAGCTCCCCACATATAGAGAAGAAGGTCCTGTATTTCATTACCTATTTTTTTGAAGTTTTAGTGACAACTGGCGAACAGATTATTCAGTTCACCCAGTAGG